GTGGAGGTTACAAAAAGAACAAGAACATTGAGCAACAGTGATGAAAAGGAAATGCTGCCATAAAACAATCTGGTTACACCTGAGAACAGAATGACAAAAATTCTGAAGTCATTTTAGCTTGGCAGAAAATGATCATCTATTTCTTGGTCCATTCGGTACTGCTAACAGCCCAGAATTGTGCAGTATCATATTAGGTCATCAAGAGGTAACTAATGATAAAGCAAACAATAAGTGACAGGCAGAAAAAACAAGCTTATTAATGGTAATTTATGTGAAACTTATGAAATGGAGAAAGGGAGAAGATACCAAAAAAATATTGAAGCTTCAAGCCAAGGTAAACAAAGTATTTCACAGCACAATAAGAAAATGTAACAAGGCAATATTAAGAAATACATAGAGAGAGGTAACAGAGGAGAATTCCCTCTCCAACATACACATTGTTTAACCTACAGCTATAGGGGAAATGATGGCCTTGAGATAAACGGGCAAATTTCCAGGGACTTTCCCCATTTGTTCAACTAACTGGGTGCAAACAATTCATTCAGTCAAGCTAAGAAGAGCAAGGGAGGTGAAGGGGTGGGATGTGCTTGTTAGAACCACTTCAGATGCCCGAGTTGAGAGGCAATCTCTTTTGAGTGACTATAGGAAGCGTCAGCCAAATGCAACTCAGGAGCTCTACCATCACTGCCAACTGCTCCACAGCTGCGCTTGAGTACGTGATCCTCAGAGTCGTCAACAATCTTGTCAATACTTCACCCCAACGTATTGCCTCATAGCCACTGGCCCTTCTGCAGCACAAGCCATGCAGACAGGAGCTGCTAAGCAGTCTAGGGGCAGATGTCCATGAGAGATAGAAAGGCACTCGATGCCTTCATGCCCAGTCTGAACACAGCCTCCTCCAAAGGGAAGGCAGAACTTGCCTGTTCTTGTCTAGCTCTTTGCCTGGACAAGATAATTTCTTATGTCATGAAGATAGAGACAGAGGACTCAACAAGTCTGGTGTCCTTTTTATGGACCCACATAGTCTTACAGCCTTTTTTCCAGAATTTTTCAAAACCGCACGCTCACCTGAATTAAAACTCAGAAACTTTGCTACTAACAGAGACTTGCAGAAACCCCACCTCTTTCGACAGTGCCAAAGACATGTAAAGAGAGCTCCTGTGGATAGCTTCTCATTGTGCAGAAACAAAATTAATCTGTCTAGATGACTTTGAAGTCCCTTCTGCTGTAAGCAGCCTTCTTCCTACCTACCGCAGAAATTAAATTAGGAATGGGCTTAAGAAAAGGTCTTCTCAGCTGCAATAAAATCAAATCAAAATGTTTGGTTATAACCAAAGTCTTTGCTATGATAGAAGTTGTCCCTATTGTAAACGTGTTCTGAGAAACACACCCTGTTGTAAGCTAAATGAGAGTTTCTTGTAGAAGCCCACTGAGATCACATCAGCCTATTTCTGACCAACTCCTCCCTCAGGAAGGGCATTTTCCTCACCATCCTGCAACATAAAATGCAGTCAAGCCTTCACTTAAGAGATGAGAGAGATCAGCTCTTCGCAACAATCACCTGCTTCCCTTCCTTTG